TTTTCTTGTGTTTATAAAGAAGTTTATATATGACACCGCAGACTGGTAAGGTTCTTCGGGTTGCCACGAGGCAGTTACTAGATCTCTGTAGAAAAGAGAAAAAAGTAACCATGCAGGGTTTTTTTTTATATTTAATCACAAAAAATAATGTTAAATAAAATAAATGAATCGTATTAAGAGAATGGTGATGTTTTTCTGTAAATTTTCTGTAAATTACTATTTTTACGTCCAGAGATACATGTACGTGAACCTAGTCTTAGTATTACATGTATATCGTTTCTAAATGTAAAGTCTAGGCCTATATATTAAACACATCTTGCAGTTTCATGCAAATTAATATGCAAATACAGACTGATATTGATATCTTACAAGCAGGGGGTATTTCACAAAACACTCCAGTATTCTTCGCCACTGCACAGAGAAAAAATACAAAATAAACGTGTAAGGCCTACCTTTATGCAATAATATAACGTCCATCAATAATTTAATAATAAAAATTATGAATGAATTGCATGCATGGAGCATATCATAGTTCAACTCTGTCATATATGACAATTAAATATTTGTTGAAATACAGCCTCTGATATACATGTACACTCGTTTATAACCCATAATAACTCACCTTTTTTGCCCCACGTGTACGTACCTACATGTAGTACACCTGTCCTTCACCTGTTGGTAGGTATTTTCCATCTTTCATGGGAGCACGTGAGAATATCGATTTACCAGCAATCTTCACTTGTAATCTGAAAAGGTGAGTTTGAAACGTTTTCGGATCAATAGGCGACAGTTCATCACATTAAAGTATTCGTGAACTGCAGGTATACTGTTCTGTGTAACTAAGGAAGACCAATACATTTAAATATGTACAAGTACTTTTAATGAAGCATGCAACTGCGAAATTTTATTTACAGGTTCTTTAAAGCATCTCTTTTCAAATTCAATTCAGCATTGAAAGACTGATGTAAGCTCATTGTTATATATATATATATATATATATATATATATATATATATATATATATATATATATATATATATATATATATATATATATATATATATATTTGGATTTTTTGGATTTTTTCAAGAGAAAATGAAAAAATTGATTTGGTTGCAAATAAAAAATTTAGAGCTAAAAAATTGCTATCAGTTAATGCATAGTACAGATAAAACATGTTCAGAAGACGTCTTTGTTTCTGTATTGAATTTTTAAACTCATAGTATAATAGTAACACAAGGTATCTAAATTCCGAATTACATGGAGTATCCCTCTCTCCCTTCCCACCAACCCCTTCTCAGAATCGCACAGTCATTTACACTTTCGGAGAAAAAGCACTGGTAAGGCCAAAATAAAAAATAGGTTTGTTTCCCCTAACGCGACCGACCCACTTAAATCGTGCCGACTGAGAAGTTTTTTTAATAAGATTATTCAAATATTTATTTTTATTGTTTATCAACTTTATTTCATCAAAATTCATTTTTTATCAGAATTTCGGCTTTTGTTTTACTCTCATTTGGCGCCCACAACATGTGGCCACAGAGGGTTTTTAGTGTTTTAAAACAACGGCGATGTATCAGTCTTAATATATATCTTTAACTTATTAGAATCCTACACTCTTGAAAAATTTCGTGAATTAAATATACTATGACTAAGGAGTGTTAAGATGGTATATACAAATGTGTCTTCTAAAATTAACGTACGTAGTAAGCAGGACAAAGCCTGCCTCATGAGCAGATGAGGGGCCCACTTTGTGTATGCATATCAATAAATTTCACTGCATTTCATTCGTTTCAATCTAAAAAAAATCACTTTATGTATGATTCTATTTACTATATTGGAACATAGGAGTTGTAAATATGTCTTTGTATAATTATTTCATCTTGATAAATATAATTCGGATGTCGTTTCTTCATTCCTTTTATTTATGGGTTAAACTTCGTGACTATAACATTAGATATATGAAACTTTAATCATTTTAGATATGGTTAGGTTGAATTAAATATTGTTTATACAGGTACATGTACTCTCTTTTCAAATAGTGTTGAAATCTTTAAAGTTGGCTTACGGTACGGCTTCCTGAGACGTCCAGTGTATTTTTCTTTTCTTTAGTTGGGCCCTTGAAAATAGGTTGTTTCTTTGCTTTAAAATACCTTTAAAAATTGCTGGGTCGACAACATTTGAACATCTGCCTGGTGGAGGGCTGCTAATTTAGACTTTTTCTCGGCACTTATGGCCATTGATCATAAAGCATCAGTAAGGGCCAACATCTACATGTAAACTGTGACACTGCATGGCCCTACGTTTTTTACGGTCTCATTTGACTGATCAGTTTCCACACCCCACGTCCTGTGACTTAGAATGAGCTCCTGAATTACGTCGTGACTCCAAAACGAAACACTAGAATTACTGCGCCACGCGAGGCCCTTGACATTTTATCTGTGTAGGCGCTCGAAGATGATAGAAGGTTTGAAAAAAATATACTCGGATGGCCGATGGTTGAGTTTTTGCGAATCTTGTCTTTTTGTAAAAATTCAATTTCATTAAATTTACGCTGGCCTGAGATATTTCACAAGTTCAAATGAATAATATTTGTGAATTAATTTACCATAAATATTGCTTTTAAATATCATTTGTATGATATTCGGTTTAAAAATCGGGTTCTTTTGTTCTTTCTTATTTATAGAGATATTATTCAATTTTCAGAATGTATTTTCAAAACTGCTGTCAGAAAAAAAAAACAATTTACCTACCTACCTACTCAACTTGAAATTTTAGGGTCGGGTTAGGGGAAACAAAGATACTTTTAATGATGGCCTAAACTGTTTACCATTCTACGATAATTTATCAACAAAACCATATACGGCATGCTTGTCTTTATTTTCTTTTATCTCCGTAAACAGCGCCAAAACTCTGCTCGCTGACTGGAAAATTCGTCTCACACCATGAATGTACTATGTAGTATGTACTAATCTCGGACAGAGAGCAAAATTTAAAAATCAGTAGGTATACAAATTTTAATTCCAATGTTTAGATATTGATTAGAATAAATAAAAGTTGTTTACTTTTCATTTTCAGTGAAAACATTACAATATTTTTCCGATGAAATTTTAGAAACGGACTTTTAATCAATCAAAATCCAATAAAAAACAAAATTACAAAACATAAATTTGGATATTTGAAATCTAGTTGCAATGAAATATATAATAAAATGTGTGTATATTCATGGTGTGAGACGAATTTTCCAGTCGGCGAGCAGTTTTGACGCTGTTTACGGAGATAAAAGAAAATAAAAACAAACATGCCATATATGGTTTTGTAAGGAGTCTCAAAATGCACACAACACAGGCCTGTAGCAACGGTTTCAAAAGGGGGGGGGGGCAACTTCTCAAAAAAATCTGACAAGCAAAAGAAAATAAACTTACCAAAAGTGAGAGGGGGGGGATTCCCAAAATTAACTGACAAGCAAAAATAATTTGAAGCTAATTTACCGTCCAAATTCTGGAATTTGCCAGTGCTCGACCTTACAATATCAAAATGTGGGGGGACAACCAGCATCTAAAGGAAAATTTACTGTAGCAAAATTCTATACTCACAAAAAGTGGAGGACCGGTTCCCTTGCCCCCCCCCCCCCACCCCACCCCCGTTCTACGGGCTTGCAACATGGGGGTGCTTCAATATGGCTAACATAGCCTTGTGGTCGTGGAGAAGATTTTTTTTTTGTATACATGCATTATGTAAAAGTTAATCCTAATTTTAGCCACCTCTAACCCGGGGTCAATAATCCGAAAAAAAAAAATATCCACACATCTCGGGAATGTTTGCAAATAAATGATTTTATTGTGATTCTTGAGAAGAATTAAATTCTTTTTCTCAGCCAGTAAACTATTACCCATGGTGTCCTGTTAGGACATTTACAAATTTACTTATCCCCCCCCCCCCTCCTTGGACATACCGGTACATTATAGGGTGCACAAGCCTTTATTATGGGAAGTGTACATGGAAATGAAATTGACCTTTTGAACTTAAAATCAATAGGGGTACTATCTGAGATGCATCAACCAGAAAGTCTTCTACATCACATCTTTGGCAAAAACACGTTTATCATGATATATCAGTAATTTATTTGTTCAACCTTTGCAGAGATAATGAACGGAATCGCAAATAATTGGAATATTTCAAAGTCCAAGGGGCATAACTATGTCAAAAATTGCTCAATCGTACCAAAACAGAATTTGACCTAGATATTCTTATGATAAATCATTTCGGTATGTGCAACGTCTGCGAAGAAAATGAACGGAAACTGCTGGTAGACCGACAGACAGACCGACCTACCGACAGACAGCAGCAAAACAAAGCAATATGCCCTCCCTTCTTCGAAGGGGGGGCATGATAAATGTCCTAAAAACGTACATGTACTTTCTATACCTTATAAACATTTGCAACCTTTAATGAAAATAGGCATACTACCATCGTCTCAAGCCACGGTTCGGAGTCCGCATATAGCTCTCTCCTACACGGCCAGAATGGGAGAGGATAGTACATTTGGCCGTGGTTTGCGACGATGGCATACTAGATATCTTCATAATTTTAATTCTATAATAATGATGATAAGGCCATCTTTAAAATATTGTTTGGTTGCCCTCTCCCAACCGACTGGCTATAAATGGCCCAACTTAAAACTTTTTTTAATCTCCAGGAAGCAGTTATTTTTTATGCATTCTAAAAAATAGACTTTGAAAATTCAGCATTAAAATTGAAATTTTCTGAGAAAAAAAATTCTCACCTATCTACCAATTCAATTTTTTCGTCCTGAGTCATGAGAGGGCAAACAAACATTTTTTCAAAGTTGGCCTAATAAGGATTCTCTTTTTAAGTACTTCCATCTGACGTTGCACATATTTGCAGGTTCATTATTGGTTGAATTTACAACTAATTTTTGTTCATGTATAGACAGAAGCACAGAATATATAAAAATCATAAGAATTAGATATAGAATCTTGAGCTTTTTCTACGAAATTTTATTTTAGCAAAAATGAATGGTGAAAAAAATAATTATGAGACAAATGAATTCATACAATGTAGAGAACCTCCGGTTAGCTAGAATTCACTTCTCGGGGTGAAATGGATTCTGATGACAATGGTGTCAAAGTCTGAGGCTGTGCAATGTCTGTCCTGCCAGCAGAACTAATTGGAGTTGGCAAATGATCACCAGATTTGCCTCTTTTGCTCACAGGTAGTTTGCTAGACCTTCCAGAGGGAGAGGACTGAGAATTTGCAGTACGTGGCACATCAACAACATGTTTACTGGTAGTGTCTTCCACAGAAGATTCAAAGTCTGACTCAGAACAAGGAATGGGAGACTTGACCTCACTAGTTTCTACCACTAAAAGAGTATCACCATCACCAGATTCCTGGAAGATCTGTGTTGTATATTGACTGCTAGATGTAATGTTTGATGCTATGGCACCCTTTGGAATAGAGCCTGCTGGGATTGTTGGATATGGCACATCTGGAACATTTATTGATGCTGAGTATTCTATAGCAGTTTTCTGAAGTCTTTCAAAGTCATTCATTCTGGCTGTAAACTTTTCTTCCTTTGACTGAAGTGTTTGTTGCATTGTCTGAATCTACAATATAAGTGAAATGATTCAGGAATAATGTTACACCAAATGTACTTATTTATTCACATGACAATTTTTTCACTAAATTGTTTAATTTCATTTATTTGAGAGACACAATTTTTGTGTACGCTCCACAAGATAAGATAATGGGTTAATTCAAGAAAAATTATTAAAGTCCTCACAAATAAAATGTGATTTAATGTAATTTACTTGGCATAAATTATTATCCTACTCCAAATATAGAAGTAAAAATAATGTAACCTGTTCCATCAATTTTTTAGTGTTTTCTTCAATGGCTAGTTGATGAGAGGTACCTCCAGTGATACCTTGATATGGAGAAGGCTCAATGGAAAGGAAGAAGGGGAACTTTATGCTGTAGCCAAAGATCATGAAAAGAAAGAGAAACAGAAACACTACCACCATGACCATGGCTACAGGATACAAGGTGATGGGTAGGTCAATCAGGAGTTCTTTTATGAATGTGCTCAGAGCAGCTCCCACATCTTTGAGTGGTGAGAGGAAGAAACGAACAAAGGTGACACCCACTGCCTGTAAAATAAATAAATGGGATTAGAATAATTAAAGGAAAATAATGCAAACAATTAATCAGAAAATTGGGTGCAAAAGAATAAAATTCATATCATGATTTCTTTCAATTTTTTTTTATGGTTTGGACCAGTAAAGTTTACATTTCTGAACATTTCTATATTTCTGCAATGCCATACATTTTTAATACTAAGAGATTTCATCTTCAAGAGATTTTGTTTGAACAACAAAAACTCAACAACCCTTAATATCAATCAGTTGTGCCCTAAGTTTCAGCAAGCACATACATGTATCTATACCTGAACATTACCTTAGTGGGTGGCACTTTGACAATTGGATCAATCATTATATGTTCATAATACTTCTGACATTTGTCCTCCTTCAGAGTAAACATGGTTTTGACCAAGTGGGATGCCGCCCCAAACCAGTTATCACTGATGGAGTCATTCTTCACACAATCAGCCGGGACATCATTCATAGCCACAGTCTGCTGTTTGATTTGTTCTGCCTGGGAAATAAATTGCAGTTGAACTTTGGTATCTCAAACATTGACATCTTGAATACTTTGGGTACATGTATGTCAGAGTGAATTGGAAGTCCTCACTTCGTTTTCTTAATGTACTATAGAAGTGCCTTTTTTCTATGTGGAATTAATTTACCCTATGTAATCAACCACAAATTTTCCACTTAAATTTGTCCAAGTGGACTTAAAAGTACATTAAAGGCATATAGAAGAAATCTAAGAATTTCACTTAATTTTCTACTTATGGATTCAACAGATATTGTGATTTCCCAAATTGATGAACCTGTTGAAAAAAGTATGTGTTTACAGTATTTTTACCTCAATTTTTTTTTTAATCTTTGGATATTTCCCAATATCCCATTTTTTCCCCTCAGTCTAATGGAGTTTGAGACAACAATTAACATTTGACTGATTAAACAAATCATCAAATTAGTTGAGGGATTCTTAGATTCCATGGGTGCAAACAATTTGATGAATTTTTTTTACTAATTTAAAATCCATTAATTACATCTACCTTGTAGAGTTCAAACCAGGTCATTGGGATGCTGACAATAAAGGCTAGAACAATCAACTTCATAAATCTCTGTCTCCATGACATCTGTAGCTTCATTTCCAATGTTGCAAATACTGAGGCCATTAAAAGCACAGCAACCATCTGAAAATTTGTTTACATGAATACCTTTTAAAGGCTTTTAGAACTAACAGTTCTAGAATACTACTGTATAGATTCCTTATTTCATGGAAGTTGATCTACTTGATATAGTGAAATGACTTGCAAACATCAAAGCGTGAGAACATGAAATTGTGATAAGAGCTTTTTTTCATATATACAGCTGTATCAGCAAGTATTTGATTCCATAATGGTGCTTCTCACAAAATTATGTGATTGTATATAAAGCTTAAAACATCAGGTGGTACTTGTCACATACATAAAGCTTAAAGCATCTACATGTATGGACAAACAAAATATAACTGTACTTAATCTTTTGTACATTAAATCCTATCAGTATGTTATACTTTATGAAAAGAAAAGACTGTCTTCTTGCTTGTTGTCAGTGTGTTTTTCTGTGTGTTTAAAAATCTGGGAGATCTGTTTAACTAGGAACAAACCTTTAGGGCTGCATCAATACTTGCTCCATATCTGTCCTCAAACCATATGGATATTTGTCCCATTGTTCCTAAATGTGACCTTGATACAGTTTCAATCATGCCAATTAGGATGTCATTTGAATCATAAAGGCTGTGCAAATCTTTACTTTCTTCTTTCACAAATTTTCGCAAGATTTTAAAATCATCAACAGAAAGTTTAAGAACCATGCTGTATTCTTGTGACCCTGATGTCGGCTCCTGCAAAAATATTAAGGAAGTAAATGTAAAAACATCTAAACCTACATTGTTGGGGAAAGAATTTACCAATCACTAACAAATGCTTTGAATCACAATATAACTATATACTTGGTACTTATTAGCTCATCTGATAATACAGAGGCTCAAATGGGGTTTTCTGATAACAAAGGTCTGGTGTCCGCCTGTCTGTCATGGGTTGTCCATAATCTTTTCACAATTTCAACTTCTTCTCAAGAACCACTGGGCCAATTTCAACCCAACTTGCCCCTAAACATCATTTGGTGAAAGAGATTTAATTTTTTCACAGGAAGTCGGTTAGTCCAAGCCCTCTTTCAAGGGGAGATAATTAAGATTTGTGAAAATTTGATGGCATCTTTTATCAGCTTAAGAGATCCATGGGCCACAACTCTTACCTGAGTAATTAGGGCCCTTCTGTTATTCATCAGCAGATTTTTTTCCTACACATTCCTATGCAAAACTTTGATCACATATTATGACCCCATCCAACCCCAGAGGATCATGAGGCCAACTTTAAAATAATGTTTGCTTGCCCTCTCCTGATTCAGGATGAAAAAAATTGGGTCAGTAGGTAGGTGAGATTTTTTTTCTCAGAAAATTTCAATTTCAATGTTGAATTTTCAAAAAAAAATTTTCCAGAATGCATAAAAAAAATCTTTCTGGAGGTTAAAAAAAGTTTTGAGTCAGACCCTTTCAGCCAGTCTATCGGGAGAGGGCAACCAAACAATTTTTTAAGGGTGGACTGATTTGAACAATCTTAAATTTAATTTTGGAAAGAAGCTTTTATATATATATAATCTCGTAATTTTATCTTTTCTGACCCAGTGGTTCTTGAGAAGAAGATTTTAAATGATGCCATCAAATTTCATGAATTCTTAATAATTACATCCCCTTGAAAGAGGGAGTGGCACTTCCTTTGAACAAACTTAAATCCCCTTTCATCCAAGGATGCTTTGTGGCAAGTTACATGTAGTTTGAAATTAGCTGAGTGATTCTGGAGAAAAAGTTGAAAATGTGAAAAGTTTACAGACAACACACACTGCATGACACAAGACACATGGACAGACAGATGGACACTGGGCACTTTTTGATCAGAAAAGCTCACTTGAGCCTTTGGCTCAGGTGAGCTAAAATCTTCTTCTCAAAAACCACAGGGTAAGGAAAGAAGAAACTTATGTGAAAGCATAATTACATACTGTAGATTTCAATTTGTTCATCTAATGACCCCTGGGGTTTGGATGGGGCCACAACAGGGGATTAAAGTTTTTCATAGAAATACAGGTATATAAAAAATATCTTTAAAAATTTTCTTCTCAAGAACAACAAAGTTATTATTCATCATATTAATACAGAAGCATCCTCAGGTAGTGTAGCTTGAAGTTTATTCAAATTATGACCCCTGGGGTAGGGCAGGAATGTAATACCGGTATGTTATCAAAGTTATTATACATTGGAATATATAGAAAAAGTCTTTCAAAAAATCTTTTCGAGAACAGCAAAGCCATGATTTATCATTAAAATATATAGAAAAGAAATCTGCTGATGTAGAACAGAAAGGCCATAGTAACTCAGGTATGGGCCTAGCATAGTTTTTACAACAGCAGTGCACATCTTCATTTGGTACTTGTCAAACTTTATTTATAGAAGAATACTTTAACAATTACCCGAGATACATTTCATTTGCCAATTCTATCATTATCCCTTTTTATACTGAGTTAAGATACTGTAAAAACCTCAATTTTTGTTGGGTCATATTTTCTTGGTTTTAGGAAAATATATGAGTAAGCAGGATTTGATTTCACGGCTGAAGAACTGATGAATAATAAGATATGTGCAAAATTGCCTTTTGTGGTGGACATGTATTTGTGGATCACCTCATACTTCGAATACCCCCAAGAAAATTAGTGATTTCACAATAGTAAAAGTTATTGAACAAAGCAATTGCTCATCAAATCTGTCAAAGGATTAAAAATCTTAATGTTGGTTGTGGGTGTTTCAAAACTTTACCTGTTCTACTTTGCATGAATTAAAAAAAAAAATATGAAATTATAACAAACCTTCAACTGGAAATGTTTCAGAAAAGACTGGACAAAATTTTTGAATATCTGCTTTCCTGCATCAACTTTTGGACACATTGGCTCTTTCTTCATATTTATGGGCTCATTAATTTCTGTAGGGAGAAGTTCATTACTACTAGCTTCCTTTGAAGTTCTGGTTTCAGTTTTATGTAATGTTCCCTCCGCATCAGGTTTGTCCTTATTTTCATGCAAAAAAAGATAGAATATATTTCCTTACATGAGTCAATGTTTCAGCAGCAGTAATGTACTATTTAGGGATGTCAACGAATAGTCGACTATTCGACTATCAGTCGAATGGACTGACGTTCGAATAATGAAACAACATTCATATACTATTATAATTCAATAAATGCAATAAAAGAATGCTAACAATATGGAATTCTCATCACAAAATTGAGAAACCATCTTTCCTCTGAGACAGTCGATAAGATAATTTTTCCGCAACAAAAAAGGTTGATTTTCCATGCACGTATAGAAAGAACAGTAATTATAAGTGCCTCAATACTGCGAGAATTATTTGTCAGTAACTGCCTGTGTTGTTTTTTGTAATTATAATTTGGCTTTGTTTGTAAAATTATTAATTGGACTTGATCTTATACATGTATCAATTATCTTTTGTTATTTTAAGATTGCTTGAATTCTATAAACAAACCATAGCTGTGACATGTTTTGACACTTCGATAATTATTAAAAGAATTCGCTTATGTTTTAAACGTTTAAGGACATTTTGATAGCCAGAGCAATCAATAATTGAATAAGCAGTATCTAACTCTTAAACAATTTCACAAGCACCTGAAGTGTGGATAGTGTGAGATTACACCCCCCCCTCCCCCCCCCCCCCCCCCCCATTTATTTAATAATCAGCTTTAAAAAATATCGGCTGGTAATTTTATAATGCTAATTACTATACATTTTTGAGAATTAGTTTTCTAAATTTATTTCATATAATCATGCTCTCCACGTGTTACGTTGCATTAATATTGATGTTACTTTTTAAATAGATTATGTAAAAGGGTTTTTGAGTAATAAATACATCAAAAACCAGTGCAGTTTGAAATAAAATTTTATTTTCAGAAAATGTTCTGAATATTCGACTATCGTTCGAATAATGCAATCGAATAATCGACTAAGGAAAATAAATATTTTGACATCCCTAGTACTATTGAATCCTGTTTACACTTCTTTCAAAACTTATTAGATTAAAATTTTACACTCTGGTCTGAATATATAGATATGTATCCTAATTGCTGGCATACCTTTATGATTTTTCTGGGATTCACCATGTCAAAAGGATCATAATACTCCTCATCTGTCAATACATTCACTACACAAAAGAGCAGCAAAAAGCATATTCTCAACATCATGGACTTCTAAAATTGATAAAAATTAATTACTATTGCAATCTAAAAAGAAATGCAGTGCTGAAAATTTTATTAGTAAGTTGGAGAAAACAATTAATTCAGTTAAGTATATGGTACATCCACAGTTCTTGGCTATAAAGAAATACTTTGTACAATTATGTGTATAATTGGTGACCAACATTACTTATTTCGAACAAGTTCATATATAGCTCATATATATAAAGATTCTGGCTGTGTCAAAACATTTTCATGATTATAGAATAATAATATTCTTTGAAATAATCATAATAATTCATCAATTGAACAAAATGCCCTCTCTACCTGTATAGATATAGATGCATATGCCATATTTTTTTCCTTTTTAAAAAATACAGCATGCATTTCATAGGTATCATAATCACCTTACTGTGCCATAATTTTCATAATTTTGTATTCACGGTTTCAGTTTCGAATTACCTGTAACAAGTTTTAGAAAGCCTTGATTGTATAACAGAAACTCTTCGAACATAAGAGGATGGAATATGCAAGCTGTCATCCAAATGTTTATTTACTGTCAAAGGTTTTTATGGTCATGTTTTTGCTGTAAATCATCAACATATCTGATCAATGTTCATTCGGTTCGACTTCAGTTTGGTCTAAAGATTGGGGTATTCTAAGGAACCATAATAATTTGTTTTTCTCTGTCTTCACTCGCTAATTTTGATAAACTTATTGACATTATTTTATTTTAAACATCTTTCCGAATAATATTACTTTAAGTTATTTATACAAAAAAATATTTAAAATTTTGCAAATAATAATTTCTGAACTTCTTCTCTTATGGTTCCTACAAGAATGGGGTACTCAATTTATCCAGACCAATCTCCAATAACAAAGAAAACCATCCGGTAGTACTCAATAAATTCCGGGAGATACATATGTTGTTGTCATTAATTCTGTTTGCTGATTGTTTTTCAAACTAATAATATGATGACGTCGTCAAAGGATTTAGCCGATTTACATTATTTCACCGGGGAACAATGTGAGTATTTAGCCCATTATGGCAACTATAACAACAACTTTAAACTTCCTTGTTTATCAGTTTATTAACAACTTTTAAGTGTACACTAAAAACAGGTGGCACAACATGCGCAATTCGTAGAATTATTTCAGGAAAGTGCTTCGAAATTAATAAATATATATCTTTTAAAATGCGCGATCCACGATAAAATACAGATTATCACACGAAAATGATGTCAATTTGAAAGTGAAAAAGACGGTGTGCAAATAGCGTCATAAAGTAGGCCTATGTCACGCAAGTACAGGGTCAACCACCAAGTGCAAAAGCGATAGAGTATTATATTTTGACTCTTTTATACAGAGTATGTACGCTGAAGAAAACTTCTAAGTAGTCAGTTATTTCATTTGCAAAACACATGAAACAAGAATGTGCAGAATTTGATTTTTTAAATTGATTTACGTTAGCAACAATTCCGTTTTCACCTGTAGGGGACTAATAATATGGTTAGGTGCATGGCACTATATACAGGATACGATTTCTATAAAGAAATTTAATTTGTTTGCTGTGTTGTAAAGTATTTTTCAGATATAAGTTTTTAATAATACACCAATTAAGTGACTTTTTAAAATTTTTTTCACAGTGAAAGACGGACTAATGGTTCAATCTTTCAAAAGGTGTGTATTTTCATTTACTGAATATATGACCTCGGGTGCTACTTCATTACCTTTTATGAAGTTCAAGTGTAACAAAAGATACTTTATCAATTAACAGGTTTTTGCACAAAGAGATGCAGCGACACGTAAAACTTGCAAGAAATGAAGTTACTGATCACCAAGCGTATGATTTTTGTCATGAGATTCGCGGCATCGCCATTGTTATCAGTAACGAAGTATTCAACCCTGACTCTGGTTCTAGAATGGAACCAAGGGCGTATGCAAAAGTAGAACTTCGCAAAATGAATGAAATGTTTTCTGGACTGGGATTCATTGTAATGTTGTTCAAGGACCTAACAGCAGCACAAATGTATGATGTCATAAAAACAGGTCTGGTTTTGGTTTGTTTGTTTGTTTTTAATTTTCTTTCGAATATGTTCTCCATCTTTGTTTAAATGTTTGAAATGAAATTCTGTCTTTAGAAGAAAATCTAAAATTCAATATATGAAAATGACTTATTGAATCTAAACGTATAATTCTATAGTTACTTCACAAGACATGGACTTTTTTCTGGGTAAATCAGATGCCTTTGCTTGCGTTCTTGCTTCACATGGAAATGAAATCCAGGAAGACAATCCAGCAGACCCCAACATTAAGAACTACCACCACATTATATATGGGACAGACAGGCCTATTAGAACTCATCTTTTGTTGGATCTGGTTCATGATAGACGATGTGAAAAACTTCAGGGTAAACCCAAAATGTTCTTCATACAGGTACATGGCTGTAAATTATGTTTTGCTATATATGTTCTTTTCAATAATATCATATTTACTACATGTTGTTCCTTCCGTCTGAAAACATAATTATATTGGATTTAATTCTTTTTTTTTTTATAATTCCATTTAAACACGACTTTCATGGTGTTTTCTGCATCTTAAAATACACTACAGTACATGTAATTGTAAATAAAGTAATCCTGCACTTTTGGCAATAGTACTGCGTTATTATCAAGTTACATGTTCATGCAAAGTTTTACGTTTAAAGAAAACTCCTAATATTATCAATAAGACTTCTCTTCCGATCAATCATATGTTCTAAAAATTATTAAGTAAAGAAATGTTTAACAAAATAAATAAAAGTTTATAGTCTAAGTTTAAAATTAAAAAAAAAACCAACTCATTAACCAATACTGGTGAAAAGTGCAAAGTTTTGGCATTGAAGATAATTAAAATATTATTCATTGATTTATTTGTGAAGAATCTATTTTTCACCTTTAGAATATTTTATTCAAAGAAGGAATTTTCGACAGGTCTGAGGAAAAAAAGCGTTCCACGATGTTACGTTAGGCCACATATACACATGTACATCGTCTATATATTTTTCAAGTTGTGTTCATATTGAATTCTTTCGAAACATCATTCAAGGAATTCAATATATGGTGCTGTATATTTTCTAGGCCTGTAGAAGTCGATTTAGGAACGACCCAGGACGTTTTGATGCTGGTGTCAATGTAACAGTTTCCAACAAGCGTCATGTAACACAATTAGGGCTTGATAAAAACGAAAGTATTTCAATGGATTCCACCTCTACTTCCGAAGATAAGGAATCAAATATCAACTCTATCATGACAGAAACGCCATGTAAAGACAAATTAGAGAATGGTAGCAATGAATCTGAAAGACTCGAATCTCCCTCAAATATCGATCCCTTTTCGTCAGGCGACAGAATACCTCCACAGGAAATTGTTGAAAAAGTAGAAAACAAGAACTGTACCAGTCAGATTTCAGGGGAACGTAGTTCGAAATCTTCACCTGAATATAAGGAAGATTCTGACGAGTTATCTCATAAACTAAGTTTACAGGAACTCATTCCCTGTTTGGAAGTTGAAATTATAATGGAAGAAACAAAAGATATTTCCGAGGACCCGAGTATCATACAAAGAGGTATAGACTGGGTTAGGAAGCGTATTTTCAAAAAGATGGACAGGGTAGCCAGAAATGAGGCCGAGGAGGTAGGGGATACGGTGACAACTGTGGCGACACCATGTCACAATGACTTCCTTATCATGTATTCTACTTCCCAAGGTAAATGATTTGATACATATATAGTAAATAAAACACCATAATTCTGATTGCTTATAGTGAAGATCAAACCAGATCGAACCAGAGCTTTAGATCTAGAAATTTTTTCTTAGTGCACTTATACTGGTATTTTATTATTAGGGAAAGCTGGTTTCGGTCGGGATGAGAAAGGCGGTTGGATGATTCACGAGATGCATAGAATCATGGAAAAATACATTGAATTCATTGGCCAAGATAGACGGAACTGTCTGGACTTCCTGTCTGTTATGACATGCGTGATGCGTGTTATTGGGTTTTATTACGAAACTGACACCGGAAATCCGAACACTTCTGGTTTGAAAACGGCACCTACAATGCAGCACAAATTGTCTAAAGATCTTATTTTTAGAAATAAATATGTATCTTTCCTCAATAATATATAATTTCCCCCAAGATTTTGTAACTGAAGGATTGGTACTTTAACATGTTTACTCAGCAAAAAATAAGGTTCCTTACCAGGCATTTGTGCAAGATACCAGAGGATGATGTTTCCAAAATAATCCTTTTGATAATAACTTAAATTGCCAATATCACAATTTTTAGCTCTACTGGTCAGAGACCAGAAGAGCTTATGTGATAGTAAGGTGTCCGTCGTCAGTCCGTCCGCCTCTAAGCAATTTTTCAAAATGCTACTCCTCCTACAGTTTTGATTTGGTCTGATTTCAATATAACTTGGCACATAAGTAGTCTACACTAAGATACACAATTCTGTATATTGGTTTTTGATTTCGATGAATGGTGTTGCCATGGTTACTAAAAATAGAGATTTCTGGAAAAATACTTTCAAAACGCTACTTCTCCTACAGTTTTGGTCTGATTTCAATATAACTTGGCACACAAATAGTCTACACTAAGATACCTAATTCTGTTTATCGGTTTTTGATTTCAATGAACGGTGTTGTCATGGTTACCAAAAATAGAAATTTCTTAAAAAAAACTTTCAAAACACTACTCCCCCTACAGTATTTATCTGATTTCAATATAACTTGGCACACAAGTAGACTACACTAAGATACATGATTCTATATATGGGTTTTTGATTTCGATGAACGGTGTTGCCATGGTTATTGAAAATAGAAGTTTTCTTGAAATACCTAAAAAATGCTACTCTATCTACAGTTTTTGTTTGATTCCAGTATTACTTGGCACAAAAGTAGACTACCCTAAGATATATAATTCCCTTTATCAGTTTTTGATTTCGATGAATGGTGTTGCCATGGTTACTAAAAATATAAATTTTCTTGAAATACTTTCAAAACGCTACTCCTCCAGTTTTTGTCTGATTTCAATATAACTTGGCACACAAGTAGACTACTCTGAAATACATAATTGTCTGTATTGTTTTTTTTTTTTTTTAATTTTTTTGAATGATGTTGCCATGGTTACTAAAATCGAAATTTATGTAAATTTATTTTAAAAGGCTACTCTACCTATAGTTTTAGTCTGATTACAATAAATCTTGCCACAAAAAGAGACTAAACCAAGGATCATTTTTCTATTTATTGCTTAGTCCAAGTGCTTTTTTTTTTTTATCTCTCCTTTGTTATAAGTACAACCCAGTAGAGCTACAGTCTCGTCAGAGACCTCTGGTTTGTGGTTTGATTTTTTAAAGACAATTAGAAAACAGTTTAGAAACCACATGGTGATTATAATTTTGAATATTTTTATATACATGTATAACAAAAAGATACAGGACATATTTTTATATACATGTATAACAAAAAGATACAGGACAGCTATTTGAGGAACGTATCGTCTGACCTTAAAGATGACTTGTCGTGATAAGTCTTTGTATTTTTGTATATGCTCAATAAATATACATGAAATATATTTTATCTGCTTGCGCCTAGCTGCCATTTCTTAAAATAAGACTGTCCAAAGTTAATGCTATGTTTAACATCACTAACCCTTGTAGATTTTGGAGAAATTGGCACTTTGAAAAAACAAACAAATCGGTATTTTTTAAAAGTGCTTTTACTGTAGCCAAAAAAGAAAAAAAATAGAAAGAAAAGAAAAGAAAACCTGCATTACATAGGAATAGACAATCCGCTTCCTCTGAAGTTTTGGTTGTAGTTGTGAGTATTCGCTTCACATCTGACTTGTCCTTCATGAGGCATATTCTCATACAAAAAGATAAACTATTAATATTCCCTAACACACGAGTCATTGCTTCATCAACAGTAATATACAGTGTACAATTTTTAAGAGTAATATAAGCAGAAATGTTCTATTTTCAAAAACAAAAAAAACTACAAGATTAAAATTTAATTGTTTTGTCAGCATACAGATATTTTTTTTTCTAGACCTTGGAGAGTTATGCTACAGCAAAAGTTGATTAAATGGATATTTCAAATATCTCTTTTGACAAATGATTTCATCATTGAAAGACCATAACAATCTCTCTCATGTTTTAAAGGAATTTTTTCAGAAAAATGGGTAAATTGTTTCAGTTTAGTTTATACTATAAACTTTATAGTCTATAAAGAGTCCATAATTGTATATATAATAAAACATGTCGAGAAGGGTCAGATACATGTACATTTTGAACACGTTTTGTTTTGTTGTTTGTTTTGTTTGTTTGTTTGTTTGTTTTTTTTTTTTGTTTGTTTTTTTTGAAATAAAAACGAGTTTACTAAGAGTAATAAAGTCACATATATTCTCTCTATGAATATGTGAAACATAATTATGTTATTATTATATAGTCTATAAATAGTCCCTTTATAAATTATACAAACGCAAACAGTTCATCATACTACATATTCACTGGATTTGAAGCCGTGTTCACTGGAGGGTCAGTGTGCGTGCAGCGGCATTGTGACGTCACGTCTCAAACAATGGTTTAAAAAATGGTTGCAAGCTGTGTACATATCTGAGTTGAAAAAAGTTAAGCAAATCTATCGCAGGATTATTTTCCAAGCATTTCGATGTTTTACACACTGCGAAAGGAAAACACGGAAGTTATAAATTGCAATCTGGACATTTTTTTTATGCCCCTGGATCGAAAGATCCCGGGGGTATATTGTTTTTGTCCTGTCTGTCTGTTTGTCTGTTTATCTGTTTGTTTGTCTGTCTGTCTGTTGTCAACTTTAACCTTGCCCATAACTTTTGATTGGTTGGAGCTATGACTTTCATATTTCACATGTGTATTCCTTGTGACAAGACCTTTCTTTGGGTACCATCATATTTGACCTTTTGACCTTGACCTTGGAGTTTGACCCACTTTTGCAAAATTTTATGAGACTTTAACCTTGGCCATAACTTCTGAACAGTTGGAGCTTGGGGTTTCAAACTTCACATGTGTATTCTTTGTGACAAGGCCTTCTTTTGGATACCAACCACTTTGACCTTTTGACCTTGACCTTGGACTTTGACCTACTTTTGAAAAACTTTAACCTTGGCCATAACTTTTGAACAGTTGGTGCTTAGGGTTTCAAACTTCACATGTGTATTCCTTGTGACAAGACCTTCCTCTGGATATCAACCACTTTGACCCTTTTGACCTTGACCTAGGAGTTTGACCTACTTTTGAAAAACTTTAACCTTGGCCATAACTTTTGAATGGTTGGAGCTAGGGCTTTCATACTTCACATATGTAATCCTTGTGACAAGACCTTCCTTTGAATACAACCACTTTGACCTTTTGACCTTGACCTAGGAGTTTGACCTACTTTTGAAAAACTTTAACCTTGGCCATAACTTTTGAATGGTTGGTGCTAGGGCTTTCATACTTCACATATGTAATCCTTGTGACGAGATCTTCCTTTGGATACCAACCACTTTGACCTTGACCTTGACGTTTGACTTTTATTTAAAAAACTTTAACCTTCACCATAACTTTTGAACAGTTGTATCTAGGTCTTTCAAATTTCACAGGTGTTTTCCTCGAGACAAGATCTTTCTTTGGGTATCAACATTTTTTATCTTTTGACCTGGATTTTGACTTGCATTTGAGAAACTTTAACCTTAGACATAAGCTGCCATACGGGGGCATAGTGTTTCACAAACACATCTTGTTTAATTTTTTTTTCTACGACAGAAGTTCGTGAATGAAAATGGAATCATCATGCAGCCTTCAATGTCTTATTTATTAAAATCCTGACTATATAATAAAACAATTATGGAATCTTTTCGTTGGTGAATATGGTTAGTTATTAACCAGAAAAAGAGCGAAGCCGAGGTCAATATTGATATTTTTCTGGTGAAAATCAAACTATATTCACCAAACGAAAGAGTCCATAATTGTAATGCCAACCCCTTAAACTCCGGTAACTCACTTTCGGGAAACTCCGCGCTGTTTGTAAACGAATGCGATTGTGAGGTAATTTTGACATGCTGAAAATCTACAATCAGATGCCGAGAAATTATTAGTCAAGTTCAAGAATGCGTCAAAAATAAATAACAAATACACGTGATCTATTGTATCTATCATGTTTTATGTGAAATCAGTAAGCACTTTTTCCTTTATGCGCTATTCCATCGATTCCTCCGACATGTGCTTCAATATGCTCATTTTTACATGTCAGTCATTTATGAAGGCCTTTGCCGAAGGATTAATATGACATACCATATTGAATACAGCTACAAATATCTTATTTTTTGTCTCAATTTGCCCTAATACGCTACACGTTGGAGATAACGTAACGTGACGTTATTATATATAAAATACTTTATATTTACGTTATTTTTTCTGTTGTTGATACTTTTCCTAAAATACAATTTAATACTATTTTAAATCTTCAAAACTAATATTCTACGTTTACAAGTTTAAGATGAAGGGAGAAAAAAAACTTAACTGGACAAAAAATTCTAATTAATACGTTGACATATTGTAGAGGGCCCTGGTTCTATCTATAGTAGTTTTGTATAGGCCCAATAACTGATTTTTTTTTCAAATATAGCTCTGAAAACAATGTTTAAGTTCATTACTAAGTGTAGCGAACAAGAAACCAACCAAAAAATAATTCAGAGAGTAACCTGGCGTGTTTTCCGCTTATGGTGACGGAGTTTGGGTAGTAGGGGATATATATTTTTTTTAAATCAATGGATAAAATTTTTAATGAACACTTCACTTACAGAAACAAATACATGAATTGAACAATATTTAAAAAAAAAAGAAAAGAAAACGAGAAATTGAAATGAATAAAAAAAAATATTGAAGTAATATTGCTAATGTTTAATTTTTGCACCAATCCCAGTTGGTGCAAAAGTTGATAATATTATACTTTATGTAAATTAGTTGAATCTGATTCGTCGAGGAACATTTGTTAAAACACACTTTTACCTGCTGAATGATGAAGCCACGCCCTCCAGCGTAGCAACAGTCAACATTGCTTGACGACAAGTGATATTCCAAAAAATAGTGACTGCGCAGAATTTATGCGCGCACGGTTCACTGTTATATTTATTTGTATAAAACATTCAGTATAATACAATAAATAATTGCATGTAGTTGAGTGTAACATTGAAAATTTTCACCCCAAGAAAACCATTGTCAACCGAGGCGCAGCTACATGCAATATTTATATAATATTCACTACATATTCACTGTATTGGAAGCCGTATTCACCACAAGGTCCCAATCAACACCCCAAACAACGTTATAAAGAATGATTGCAACGCCGGAGCCAGCTGTGTATATGAACAGGAAAATGTAAGACAAGGCTATTGCAGTATTATTTTCCAAAACATTTCTATGTCTTCCACACATAAAAAATGAAATATTATTATAATGACATGTACCCGGTATACTCTTACAGACATTCAATACAAACAGCTATAATATATCCCTATAAACTAGATGCATATGTTCAGAACAAAACCCCTTGTGTCATATTATTCAGGTCAGAGAAATTACCACCCGTGACACGGAACACCTCGGATCGGGGCGTTTACATCTACATACGCAAATCTGCTGAGGATTGCTAAATGAAACAAAACCATCCGGACTACATTCAAATTCAATAAATTCTAGGGAATATATAAGTTAGATTCTGTTGTCATAAATCTTTTGACGTCAATTAACAACATGTCCTCAAAGGATGTAGATGAATTCGATTATTTTACAGGGGAAGAATGTAAGTATTAAAAGGGTAAATTTAAAACTATTTCCTTTGAATTCGAATCTGATATTCTTCCGTGTTTAACCAAGTGCCAGATAATACAGGTGTCACACTGTGTGGGAATATTTTAGGATTCTGCTATAAAATAAATAAAAAAAACATGTATGAAAGCCATCCATGACAATAATTCAACACGGTATGTCATGTAAGAAATGACGTCATAATCGTATTCCTTTACGAACAGTGCGAAGTTTCCAGAAAGTGAAGGAGTTATAGGGGTTTATGCGATATAATTTGTAAGCGATCATTGACAATGGCGTATAGCGAAAGATAAAAAATATGGTGTGTAGAAGTGTCCAAAAGTACACCACTATAGCTCATTACACATGTGTATATAGGCATATATCTATGAAATTGGGACTGTATGATAAGGTACAGACTAGGAAAAAACTTTGTTCCTGTAGTGATTTTGGTTTTTTTTTCTCTATAGTCCTAGTTTTGTAAATTATAAGTTATTATATAGTATTTGCTGGTATTTCAGTATGATAATTCTATTTACCTTATATTTTCAGTTGTTACTTACGTAAAACACCTTTATTATTTATCTTTATAAATTAGGTCATGTGTTGATATTCTTTAAACAGGAAGTGTCATCCATGTTGGCAGTCTTCCCATTATGATAGTACTTTTGATAGCTGTGTTCTGATCGGTTAAATTAGCTATTGGATCTTTGATAATTATTGGCTTTTATTTTTGGGCCTAGCTAAGGTATTTAAAGCCGTGTTCGAGCAACATACTTCACTTGGTTTGAGGAATACAGCTTCATGGTTATTTCCTTATTACATGGCTAAAAAGCCTCATGGGTCAATAGCACTATTTACTTAGTATCTTTTTACAGTGTTAACATCTCATCATTTAACAGCACTCAGGGTCTTAGCTAGCTTTAGTTGCACGTTTTTCAAAAGTTCTAGGTTTTGTTAGGTTTTTGATAAGCTAGGATGTAGGTTTTATAGAGTTAATATATGTTTCCCTTTTCCAGGTCCAGCCTAGTCTAGGGATATGTAGATATCAGGTTAAATTCTAGAAACACTATTCACTATTTATGTTTCTTAAGTCAGGTATATTTTTTGAACCCAGACTTAACATTTCATAGTTCAACTATGGAGTGTGGATAATTGAGTTTATATTGCGTGATGTAGTTCATTTTCCTTAATATTTCCACCTCATTGACATTTACAGCAGTGAACTGTCACGGTAGCTCAGTCGGTAGAGCGCTCGCTCCGTGATCGGAAGGGCGTGTTCGAATCACGGCCGCGACTCGATAAAAAATAGGTAGCAATTGTTCCTTTACCGTTGGTCACCACTGGTAGCAATTGTTCCTTCTGGAACTTTGAAGTGAAAGTTGCGAGCCTTTCGGATGAGACCTTAGAAACCGAGACCCCTTGTCACGGTAGACGTTGGCACGATAAAGAACCCTCACTGCTTAATGGCCCTGAGTGCCGAGTAAAGGTCTAAATTTGAAGCTCTTCACCGGTATATGGTCACGTCTCTATATGAGTGAAAAATTCTCGAATGGAACGTAAAACAACATACAATTAATCAATCAATTTACAGCAGTGTTTATTTATAAAACGGGATTTTTGAGCATTTTTATAAGTATGGAGGCCCAGTAGGAACATTAATATTTCATTTTATCTCTCAGGTTTTTCTCCTCTACATTCCTCCCATTTTGTATTAAATTTTTCATAAATTTCTTATTCTTATTTATTCATTGAGATTATTGTTATTCATTTGCCAAATTAAATTATATTTATGATGAGACTTATTTTTATTCCTGTGCAATTTTCAAAGACTTTTCTCTTTGTTAAATTTTGATTATTAATTTGTTAGTTAAGATCCAAGGATTGTTTTATTAAGCAGCAAATTTGGGGAAAATATTATCTATTGATCGAACCTAGTTTAAATGTAAATTGCATTTTGAGAAGAGAAAAAGTTTTTAAAAAAGTGATGACCTTGGTACAGTAGGAAAGACATATTAAGCTGTAAAATGTTGAAATATGAGGCGTATTATGGCCATGAAAATAACTCGATAACTCAATAATCTATTTACATTGTAAAATAAGAAATTTAATAAGCCTTGATGTAAATTATTTTATAGATCTTGCAGAATTTTTACATATGAAACACATTATTTTTTACAGTGGAAGATGGACAAATGGTCCAATTTTTCAAAAGGTGTGTATTCTGTTGAATATTCTTGAACACTACTGAGTTGGCCTTTTATTAATTGGATAAATAAAAAAATATCAAATTCATAAATAGGTTTTTGAAAAAAGAGTTACAGAGACGTGCAGAACTAACAAGAAATGGAGTTACTGATCACCATGAGTATGATTTCAGCCATGAGGTTCGTGGCGTTGCCATTGTTATCGTAAATGAAATATTCAAACCTGGCTCCTGTCTAGAGCCCAGGAAATATGCAAAAGTAGAGCTTCGCAAAATGAATGAGATGTTTTCTGGACTGGGATTCATTGTAATGTTGTTCAAAGACCTAAAGGCAGAACAGATGCGTGATGTTATAGAGACAGGTTGGTTATTTATATATTTATTTTTCTTTTGTTTGCTTCTTACACATTTGAGACACAATTCCTTTTTTTTTTTTGAAAAATGTCTGTCCAACATAAAAATATGATGGACGCAACCAATTAAATTCGAATGTACAATTCTTTAGTAACCTCAAAAGACATGGATTTTTTTCTGGATAAATCGGATGCCTTTGCTTGTGTTCTTGCTTCTCATGGAAATGAAATTCAGGAAGAAAACCCAATTGATCCAAAAATTAAGAACTACCACCACAACATATATGGAATAGACGGACCAATCAGAACTCATCTTTTGTTGGATCTGGTTCACGACAGACGATGTAAAAAACTTCAGGGTAAACCCAAAATGTTCTTCATACAGGTACCTACAGCTATACATAATGTTTAGCTATTATGCTTTTTATGTGTAATAGTTGATCTCTCAATGCAGAACTTTTGTCTGCTCGCGTGAATAGGGATTTGTTTTAAATTTTAAACTGATTTTTAAGGAGGAAACCTGTTTCTGCATTTAAAATACACACGTATGTAATTTAAGTAACTTTGCCACTGATGGCATTCGTATTAGGGCTTATCAATTTACAGATTATGTTTTTACTATATTATCAATGTAGATTTTCATTAAAAAAGTATTTTTCATCCGACTTGCCATGTGTTCTAAGTAGTTAGGGAGTGAAGAAATGTACATGTATTACACATGTGTTTTTCTGAATGAAAAAGGAGAAAAAAAACCTCATCATCAATGAAATATAGAGATAACGAAGAGTATTCAAGCTCAAAGTCTATTAAAACAATACAGAGCACAGCAAATACGGACCTCCAAAACAGAGGTGGGATCAGGTGCCAGGAAGGAGTGAGCATCCCCTGCCGACCGGTCACACTCGCCGTGTGCTCATTGTCATCATCGGTAAAAAACGGAAACATTGGTCGACAATTCAGTGTGTAAATAATGGCCTAACAATTAGTATGAAAAACGTCAGTCAGCATATGACTTAATGATAGATTGTATTTGCTGACAAGGTCATTGTATCGACCATAGAACTTACGAAATGACTTTAAACGAGACTGTTGATATTGCTCAAGTATGAGCTTATAATACTTTATGTTTCATAGAGTTTCGTTTTTGAGGGTAATAAAATATTATTTCAGCGATTTATTTGTGAAGAATCTAAGGTTTACTTTAAGAATATATGTTTAAAAAGATTTTGAAAAAGACATCCCCCAAATAAGTATTTTGAATTTCCTTAGACCACATGCATTGTATATTTTAAAAATTGTTTTAATCGTGCAATTTTCCGAAACAGCATTCTTTAATATGATATACGAGGGTTGTTCCGCAGACAAGTTCTATTGTGAACACGCTATTTGCATAAAATCAGTAAAACTCTGCAGATAAAAACTATACGTATTTCCAATTAATATGAAAAGTTTTGGGTATTTTCCGATGATCTCTAAAAAAATAAACAGCTAAATTATTTAGATAAAACATGCCTCACGGAGCATGTTACTTTTTCGCACCTTGACATTACAGAGACGTTTTGCACTGTTGTTAACTGCACTGATATATATATATATATATATATATATATATATATATATATATATATATATATATATATATATATATATATATATATATATATATATATGATAGATATATATATATCTCTATTCCAGGCATGTAGAAGTCGATTCAACGACACAACATCTTATGATTATGGTGTGAAGGTACCCACCTACGACAAGCTTGATATCCGACAATTAGGAAATAAAAGTATTTTAGCAGATTCTGTCCCTCTACCTGAAGATTCGGAATCAACTGTAAACCCTACCATGATAAAAAAAATTGCTCAAAGTGGCGATGAATCTGAATGTTCCAGATCCTTCACAGTTATTGATCCCTTCTCGTCAGGCGACAGGACATCTCAAAAGGAAATTGTTGAAAAAGAAGAAACTAAGGACTGTATCAGTCAGATTTCAAGGGAATGTTCGAAACCTACACCCGAAAGTGAGGAAAACCGAGATATAGATTTACCCGCGCTATCTAATAAACCAGGTTTACAGGGACTACACGAGGGAATACAAGACATTTCTGAGGACCCGAGTGTCATCCAAAGATGTTTTAACTGGATTGGAAAGCGTGTTTTCAAAATGATAGACAGAATAGTCAGAAATGAGGATGCAGGCGATACAATGACGACTGTGGCGACACCTTGTCACAATGACTTCCTTGTCATGTATTCTACTTCCCAAGGTATATTCTTATGTTACATAGCCACAATGTATCCGTATCTTCAATAAAATTAAATGATCATGTATGCTTGTAACGTCAAAACTGTTATAGGGACGAGATCAAAAATTCAATTTCCGACAAAATCTAAATCATAGTTTTCGAGATTCCCTTCCCTCTTAAAACTAAATGTAACCACTCTGATTGTACACACAAGTACTCTGAAGTTGATATTAAAAGGATGCTTGGGTTCCTCATTGACAAAATTTATGTAGTCTTCGGAGACCAAGTTTTCCAACAAACTTTTGGATTTTCGATGGACACTAATTGTGCTCTTTTATTAGCTGTTTTTATATTCTTATGAAGCAGAATTTATTCAAAAACGTCTAAACGAGAAAAGAAAACACTAACTGTGGCCTTCAATTCGACATTCAGATATATCGACGATGTTTATTCAATTAACAATAGTTAATTTCATTCGTATGTCGACTCGATATATCCCAGTGATCTTGAAATAAAAGACAACACAGAGTCTGACACATCTGTTTCATATTTAGATCTTTTACTAACTATAGACGATAAAGGCCAATTAACAACTAAATTTTGTGACAAACGAGATGACTTTCGCTTTTCCATCGTCAACTTTCCTGCTTGTTCCGTGATCGGAAGGTCGTGTGTTCAAATCACGACCGCAACTGACCTACATGTAAGTCGATAAAAAATAAGTAGCATCTGTATCTTTGCCAAACGATCGGCACTTTGAAGTGAAAGTTGCGGGTCCTTCGAATGAGACCTTAGAAACCGAGGCCCCGTGTCACGGTAGGCGTTGGCATGATAAATTAAAGAACCCTCATTGCTCAATGACCCTGAGTGCCGAGTAAAGGTCTAAATTTGAAGCCCTTCACTGGTACATAGTGACGTCTCTATAGGAGTGAAAAATTCTCGGACGGGACGTAAAATAACATACAATCAATCAATAAATCGTCAACTTTCCTTATTAATGTAGTAATATTCCGCTATCACCTGCATATGGGGTTTATGTTTCCCAACTAACTCGCTACTCAAGAGCTTGCTCTGAGAACGATCAATTTTTAAAGCGATGTAGGCTACTCACTGATAAGTTGATATTACAGGGATTTCAAGAGCCTCGTTAAAAGCCAGCATTTTGTAAATTTAAAGGTCGTTATAATGACCTTGTTAGCAGATTTAATCTATCACTGGGTCGTATTTTGGCTGACTTGTTTCATACCAATTGTTAGGCCTTTGTTTTTGTACTGAATTGACAGTTCCGTCTACCTGATCAATACATAGGGCTCACGGCGGGCGTGACCGTTCAACAGGGGATGCTCACTCCTCCTACGCACCTGATCCCACCTTTGGAATTTTCAGGGATCCGTGTTTTATGCCCTCTTCACATATTTGCATTGTTTATGGATTTTTTGAGATCGATCACTGTTCGTTATCTTTACCTTTTACACTTATGAATTTTGATTGAAATTTGATTATAAAATAAAAAAAATATTTATGATACTCTAATCAACATATTTCTATGGTTTATTCATAAAAAGGATGATTTTATACACCAGATGGAGTATAATAAAATCTTATGTTAAGTATGCACTTTTTGTGTGTTTATCGATTTCGGACAACAAAAACTTTCTTAGCTGTTAAATCTTTTGAATTTTTCCCCCGACATCGATCTGTTGAACTTGTCCCTTAGTACAATTAAAATTCTAATTATTTCATGTAAGATTTGTTCGTATAAAAATGATACTTATGAGAGAGTTTCCATGTACATTAGTGTTTTTGATAGTACAATATTTGGTTATCTTCATAGGGAAAGTTGGCTTTGGTCGTGATGACTCGGGTGGATGGATGATTCACGTCATGCATGGGATTATGTCGGAACGTGTTGAGTGCATTCGCCAGGATAAGATAGACTGTCTAAACTTCTTGTCCACTATGACACGCGTGATGGGTTTTATTGGATCTAATTTTGAAACTAAAACCAGGGATCCAAACACCACTGGTTTAAAAACGGCCCTTACATTGCAGCACAAATTGACTAAAGATACTATTTTTAGAAAAAAATATTTATTATAAAGCTGAATTAAGCTTTCTGACAAAGACCTGTTCCTGTGTATGGTTCATGTATTTTACATGCATGTACCTGCAAAATATCCGCTGTTTGTCGTGTTGTCATTGTAAACGTTTGACATTTTCTTCTCATTCACAGTTGGCCAGTTTCAACGAAACCTTGTCCTTCGATGTTAGGTCGGAGACGCAATATGGAATCAAAATTTCACATGGGAAAATATTTTTAAACCTTCTCAAATCTTCTCAAGAACAACAGTGTCGTGATTGGTGATATATATATATATATATATATTTATTGCAGATTCCCTATTAATCAAACAAACAACAGATATTATTTTGCTTGTTTAATTTGGCGCTTCTGGCCGCGGTGATCAATTTGCTGGGGCTACCACAGGGCTGCCCCACAATCAACAATCAATACAACAAATGTGACGACCCAAATCGGGCGGATCATGCACTGGGTAGGTCAAAAGTGCATGAACGTCACCAATTCAATTATAAATCAAGTTCAATCAATAAATCAATAATCAATCAAGTTCAATCAATCAATCATCATTCAATCAATCAATTCAATATCAATCAAGTCAACTGCTTGTCAATTACAAGCCAATGCATAAATTCAAATCCTGAATTTCAATTTACATGTGCAATAGGATAAACAATGGAATGAGCGTAAGAACATGTGTTGCACTCCTCCAGTTGCGTTGAGGTGCGACGGAATACGCAAACACACAGAATTACCACCGCGACATCGGTTGAATTGGACGCTGTAACCAGCAGGCAGTCATCACGGTATACGTAAACACACAGAATTTACCACCTTGACATAGGCTGATGTGGACGCTGGACCAATCAGGCTGTATTTACGGAATGAGCAAACACACAAAATTCACCATCGGCACATACATGTAGGCTGATGTAGGTGCTGGACCAAGCAAGCCGTCCCTACGTACACATAATATCCGAACACACATAATCCACCACCGCGACATAGGCTGTTTGGAAGCTGGGCGAAGCAGGCAGTCTTCAGCTACAATGACATAACAAAAAGCAGCAGTATTTGTTCTAAAAACAAGAGGAGGGTGGGTGGGTAAAATTTAAAACATTGCCACAATTTAACTCCCAAAAATTTTCCATGACCTTACCGTTTAATCGATTCTTCTAGAAAGGAGGTAGAAAAGAACTTATTATTAGACTATATACAAATGGACCTAAATTATCCGGAATGGTAGCTTGTGACTAAGGGTGAAAATTTATATTTATCTGAATGTACGTAACTTTTCCGGAATAGATAAATATTACTAGGGTTACTGAAATAAACTCACTTATCCGAGACCAGGCTCGTATAAGTGGTATTATTGTAGATTCCCTATTAATCAAACAAACAACAGATATTATTTTGCTTGTTTAATTTGGCGCTTCTGGCCGCGGTGATCAATTTGCTGGGGCTACCACAGGGCTGCCCCACAATCAACAATCAATACAACAAATGTGACGACCCAAATCGGGCGGATCATGCACTGGGTAGGTCACAAGTGCATGAACGTCACCAATTCAATTATAAATCAAGTTCAATCAATAAATCAATAATCAATCAAGTTCAATCAATCAATCATCATTCAATCAATCAATTCAATATCAATCAAGTCAACTGCTTGTCAATTACAAGCCAATGCACAAATTCAAATCCTGAATTTCAATTTACATGTGCAATAGGATAAACAATGGAATGAGCGTAAGAATATGTGTTGCACTCCTCCAGTTGCGTTGAGGTGCGACGGAATACGCCACTTGCAAGGGCCATGAATACTCGTGTCTACCACGAGTAAGCATGGAACTGCAACCGCCACCAATGGGGGTGCCAAGAACCATGGTGACGGCGGCAGTACCTCAACGCAAATGGTCACTGTCGACCAGGGCCTGCTCATTCACCAATACAACTTATAAAACAAGTGACTTATTAGTCAATTACTATTCAATGCATTAAAACAAAATATGAATTTAAATCGTCAACGGTCATTCACCTATTCCGTTATAATTGTTTTAAGAAATGTGTTGAAATGCAATTATGGACTTGTGAGAATAAAACAACTCCCCGTTTAATCTAAAATTGTGGATCCTTACCTGCACTCTGTTCCCTGTCCCGTTGGTTTATTTTATCGTATTACTTACCTACTAGGCTGTTACTCCTGTTACGCATTTTTATGGCTTTTATAAAAATTTAAACCATCTTTGCAAGTATTGGTTATAGTTGTACTAAAAAGTGTGGAGTGTATCAGACCCAAATTGAACAAAAACGAGATATTTACGTCACCTCTCAACTTAGAATACTTTTAAAACAATATTTGTGTCCTTAACCCCCCCCCCCCCTCTCATTTCCCCAGCTGCATAAATCATATTCCCTCTTCACAATTTATCAAACAACTATAATCCATAGTAAAATTTAAAAAATAAATAAATCATTGAAATGAAAGAAAGTAAAAATATGTGAGCCTTGTAACAACTACTTAATGGATGCCTAAACATGTACATTTTATAGCCAGCGTTTCAAAGCTAAAATACCCCCCCCCCCCCTGCAAGTTGGTGGCAAATGTGCTTTAGCGGTTGCTCCCTAATTGTAGTGAATGAGATTTAAATTTTGTATTCTACAAATAATAAAACGTATGGGCATGATATGCCGTATCCAATACTGACTAAACCTGCTCAAAGTTTCCCTGAAAAAAGGATAAACACCTTTTATGACTGGTCATGGAAGTACTTGCAACTACATTCGAATCGTTAAACTGTTTTAATTAAAAATAACTGCCAAGACTTATTAATTTAATCATCACCTATTAAGTGTTTTAAGGTACGACTAATTTTAGTTTTATATAACCTCATGCCATAAGGGTAGATTAACCTATTGCAAACAAAAGGAAGAATACTTTATATCGCTATTACTTAAAACGTAATGAAACTCTTTTGCGTTGAAGGTAGGAAACGTTGATTAATAGCTGAGGACAATGTGCTATAGCTATTGACTACACTATGAGATCGATCACTGCAGATTTTTAAGGGACATTTATAAGAAAGAAACCCTGGTGAAATACCTAGCTAAATGTTCGTTGCACCACGCTATGAAATTAAAATGCTAGCTCTCTTGTGTTAATTTTTTGTGGATATTTCCCGCTAAGTAGACTATTCTAATAATAAGTTTAATCATTTTCTCTCTGATAAACGTTATTTTGGAAGTCTAAATATTCCGAATACTTTGACTTGCTTTCTGAAGTGCAACCATCGGCATTACTTTGTACCTTCAGCATACTTATTGTTCGTATCATTCAATTGTCACTAGCGTAAACAATATATGTAAACAACATGTTATCCCCCGAAAATGAATGGAGATTTATGAGAGTTATAAGTTTCTTGACTTTATTGCAGAACAGCCGCTGTAAGTTATACAATTCGAGGTAATTGCGATACTAAGTGTTCTGAGTATTCAAAAAAATATCTGTAAGGGAGTAATTTTATCTCTGGGAAATTTAGGTATAATCGTGGACCATTGTGTATTACACACAATTATACATGTATTTGGTAATAATTAAACAGAATGATAAAATTAGTCTCAAGGCTTAAATCCCCATTAGACACTGACATATGTGCGCAATAAAATAGATAAACACAATAAAATATCCGAGAAAACAAATTCTTGAGTACGTTGCAACTCTTTGTCCATGGAAATGTGCGGTGGAAATAACTGGTATACTTGATAAAGCATACTTCTGGACATATCTTGGATATCCCTTACCAGATTAGCTTAAAATTGAATGTCAGTGTACCTTAAATAAATGGATCAATATTGTTTTGACAACACATTATTAACTCCTTGGTTTTGACTTTTCTTATATACTAGTAAATTCAATATTGCAATTTCATATCAACCTATTAAATCTTTAAATAATAATAATAATTGATTCATATATATTTTAACTGATTGTTTGACAAGCTTTGTTTCCCCGTCTCGTCGAACACATTAGCAGACTATCCATTCAAAGATAGCCTGATAAGCAACATACGGAGCAAGTACTGGGTGCTGCTTATCCTAGTGAGACTCCTGACCAATCACTTTTATTAATCTGCCTATCACAGTGCTCTAATAGCTTAACTAAATATCAGAACAGTCCATCCGAAGGAGACGAGGAACCAATTTGATTTTGACCATCTTTTTAAAATTACCAGTTTATTTGAAATATGCCCCCCCCCCCTTCACACAAAGACTCGCTTAACCAAATTATACTTTTCCCTAGAAAGTAATCTAATAGCTGCGATTAATTGAAGCTGGATTAGGATCTACATCATTTGCCAATTCCACTTTTATATCTAGTATTAGCACAACTGCAACATTTCCTACTTGTTTCTTTTTTGCAAATCTTTAATTACTGTTCTAATGAATTACTGGGTAAGTGATAAGGTCATGCTTTGATGGAAAGGAATATTGTGCCCATTGCAGCTGTTGACTCATTGATAAAGCTGTCTTTAAAAAATAAAATTAAAAATGTTGACCTGTTTTTGGTAATGTACCTGAAAATAAATGATCATGGTAACATACATCTGTAATCACTATCAATTACTTAAGGTTTTTTATGTACTTACTGCCTTTTGTACCAATATAATTTGCTCCTTGCTTGTGCCTGAACCCTGCAAATTTGCCTACCTATTCTAATGCATATGAAGAATACTTTTCCACAGCTTTGCTGCGGTTTGACTGCTCATTGTGAGACAAATGCTTGCAAAATTAATAAGAAATGTTTTCATCCTATTTCAATAAACTGTGATTTTGCTTTCATTAGTTGGATTTTTATGCAGAAATTGACCATGTGGACCAAATGAGCTCCCATATGTTGTGTAACATAATATACAAGTTAACTCCCATCCCATTATGTAATAGGAAAATCAGTTCATACAATATCATCCATAAAACCTTACACCTTTTTGTTTTCTTGGTAACATGTTCTATGTAAATGGCCAGGATAACATGAACAAAAA